CTTTATATACGTTCATACAACCAGGGCTGTGCTGCAGGGGACTTCTGTGAGCCCCCTTTTAATTTTTGGTTAATTTTCCAAGCCCTTTTTTATCAGCGTGGTAAATATATAATGCAGGTGATGCGCCAGTATCAAATTATCAATGCACACATGCATTGATATATTGATACATCTTGTGTGTCCGTACTTTCAAATCCCAAAAAGAAAATATAGCCTGTTTGTGTGTCCCCCTTGTTAACAAATTTTCAGCCCACTTTTGCTGACATACCCCACAATTTGAGTGCATGCAGTAACCATATTTTGGCCTTCCATGTTATGTCACATGGGGTAATGGAGTTGGGGAAGGCAAATAGAACCCTGTACTGGTGACTTCTACTGTCTTTCAAAACATATCATTTTTTTTCTTCATTGCAACAAAGAAGGGATTTTTTTTTGTAATATAAAATGTGATATAGAACAGTAGAAAATAAACATGTAATAAAACAGTTTGAAAGAAAGTGAAACATTAGCTTCTGATCACAATTCATGTGTTCATGACGAGGTAGACGTGGCTCTCAACTTCATGGCTAAAAATGGATTGGGGAAACCTTCCTGCAGCATGTCCATTTGGATGGTCAGTACAAATACAAGAAGAATCTTAACACATTTCTTTGGTTCTATTTAGCTGCAAAAGTGTGTGTGAGATAGAAGCACCAAACAGTCTGTGTCCTAAAATGCTGGGTGACAAATTAAAAAACTGTCAAAAGCAACAGCAGTATATTCAAGTTGGTGATTAGTAATTATGAATAATGGAGTACAGTTTCCATCTCTCAAGGCATACTAAACCCATATGGAATATCTTAAAAACATTCAATGTCCTGAGTACATGGAATGGTGACATTTGCAGGTCCTTTAATGAGATTGAGGGGTTAAAACCAAAAAATCAAGTTGCACCTGCATTTGTATGGATGAGAAAAACAATTTTGTAATGTTTTATTTTTGTGGTCATGACCTAGCACACAATTTTGAAACAGGTAAATGGGAATTACTTGGACGTTTGCCAAAGGAAGTGCAAAATATGTGAAAGTCAGCTCAAAATTGTATCTGCTACAAGTTTGAATTTTGGTTGTGCCTTACAATAAATGCATATGGAATCATTACTTTTAAGAAGTTGATTCTCTCTTCCTATGAATTATAGTCTCATTTAAACTTAATAGATTGCTCTATTGTAATTTAATTAAGCTAGCTTAAAATAGCAAATATAGAACAGTCGTATTCAACAGAAAACCCACACATTTTAAAAAAAAAGTTAAATTTATTTGGAAAGTGTCATAGTCACAGAAATATTGAAGTCATAAACTGATATGTATTTAAAGTGGTATTAATATATGTTAGATGAAACAATATTGGAATCTTTGTTAGGAGACATTCCAAAAATTTCTTCTGAGAACACTTAGCTTTCAGTTCATCTCACAGAGAGCAGTGTGAATTTTATTTGTAGCATTTTTATGGATGTATATATGTATCAGTGTATGTTTTTATAAATATATAATATATGGAGTTGTATATGTTAGCAGCAAGTCATTGAACATGTATAAAAGGGTGTATTTTAAATACAAATGTTGCCAGAAATTGAAAGAAGTTACTGTTAAATTGTTACCAAGTAACAGATATATTTAACATTTTCCTAACATTTTTTATCTGATTAGTACTGCTAACAAAACTGAAGTTTCCATATTTGTAAGCTGTACCATAGTTCTGTAACAAGGGTGTCCTGTGTGTTTTTATTGAGCTGAGACATTCATGCAACATTTTGCTGTTTATTTCTGAGGAAATTGTCATTCCTCAGAAAGTGAAGAGAATCTTCACACACATTAATCTTATTTGAATAGTATATTCAAGCAGAGTTGTGATTGTGGATCTAAATTTGAAGTTAGGCTGGATTGTGCATTCATTTTTACATACATTTTACTTATTGTAAATCAACATAAAGTTCATTCATTCCACACGTGTCTGGTAATAATGATCCATTCAGTTTCCGCTGCAGCGATTCTTTTGGTATATGAAAACATGAATTTTATTTAAATTAGATTACACATCTTTATTTTTAATTTATTTACTTGATATTGATATGCCTTTATCCTGTATGCAGTTGCATTGCTTACTGACTTTCCTGATTACATGGTGGTGTAAATTATCAATTCTGAACTGTATAAAAATATTTGTAAGTCCTCTAACATACAAGTGTTCAGTTCAGTTTCAAGAAACTCCTGTGTGAGCAGTTTGGACTCAGTACATGATTAATGTGTTTGCATATGTCACCAAGTGTAAAATCTGAATAAATTTTGTGCCGTATGTGACAATTCGTTTTCATTTGAAAGAGGAGTAGATCAATTGTCTCTTAAAAATAAGGTAATTTGTGTGAAAGAATATACTGTAATATCTATACAACACACCTGTTCTTAGTTGTACCATATGTGTGACCATGAGAGTGAAATATGAGCTCAGTATAGCAATCAATATTAAAAAGTCGTGGAAGTGATTTTAACAGATGTGCAAGTTGGGTGTCTGATATTCTTGTTTGGCTTCAGATCTATTAGATTAACATGAAAGAATGATTTGAAAGCATTGCCTGTCTATATATATGTGCTTTCTAGATGGTAAGCTCCAATATAATATTGCTATTATATATATTTACTGACAGTTTTGTGTTGTGATTATAATTTTATTGTCCTTAATGTTTTCTTTTACCTTTTGTAGATTGTAATCTTATAATAAATTATGATAAAATACAAGTGGAATGCATTCTGTGTAATTTTTATTTAAAGGTTATGAGAATTCAGAAAATACATAATGTTTTACAATGAATAGTGGGCGTGATTACTGAAATAAATTTTAATGATTTATGATTCTGGGAGCCGTGCTAGGACAGAAAGCAGTCTGATAACAATTTGTGTAACAAAAGTATGAAAGTGTATAAGTAACAAGATTGGAAGGATTATGAAGGAATATTACAGCTTTAATAATATGAGAATTACTAACATACTGGGGGGATACTGGGAACTACCCATTCTTCAAGTGCCTGAGCACTGCGGGTCCCAACTTTTCGTTGGCTTTGATCTATAGACATTCGGTAAGACTCCTTGAACGAGGGATCGGCCCGTCGCAAGGATTAACATACTATTAGCAATAAATTATCACAATTATACATGAACAATAATAGGTATGAAATAATTTATTTCGTATGTAAAAAAATATGTACTTTGCAGAGACTAGTTTTCAAATGTAGCAAAATTAATTAAATGCTGTTGATTAGTAAAGGATCCGATTGGTTGCCAAGCAGCCCTGAGGATGAGAGCAGAGATTGTTCTCGAAACGTCAGAAGGTATGGTTTGTTCACCGGTCAGCGACGTGACGCGGCTTGTAGCACGACAACTTTCATCAACTGTAAATTTTGGTATGATACCAGATTAGGAAAGTATTACTTCCAAAGAAAAATTAGGTAATTCAAAAAGCAACATGTTAATTATGAAACCTTGTTATTATGTCATACATATATCACCTGGTGAGAGAAGTATAAATCTAGTGTGTTTGAACTTCACCCTGGCGTATGAATACGAAAGGAACGTTGAAATTAGAACCAAGGAACTTTTTATTGATGACGTAATTAACACACTAGGCCGTGTACCAATGTGTAACGGATCGTGTGGTAGGTGTAAATATGTGTGGGTTATCGTGTGGTGTCGGTGTTCATTTATGAGTAACATACACATCAGCTAAATAATGCATTATAACTCCTGACCATGTTTTTGGATAGAGATATTATGGTCGGAATGTGAACATTACACTCTTCCTGTAATGTTTATAAGCGAAACAATCAGTTGGCGAATCTGACATGACCATCATTAGTGACAGCTGATTTGTCTTTCAGTTCCTGAAGATGGGAGCCGGTGACTGGGATAAAATGTTGCCAGAGCCAGATCTTCTGGGAAAATATTTCCACGAACAGTTTAAAGTTTTTCCAGATCATCAAAGGTTATATTTGTATTTAAGTTAACCTCTCTTAAAGACGTCTGCATGATACAGTAAATTATGGTGTATATTTAGCATTAAATACTCTTTAAATAATTAGTAATAAATTACTCTGGAAGTTCAAAATGCCAAAGAGCTCGAATTAACTTCTTCTGAAAGTCGCGAATGTTATCTGCACATTCTTTGTAATTGAATCGTATTTGTCAGTGCATATATTCAAAATTGTTTGTATAAATGACGTTGAAAATAAGTCGAAATATAAGAATACCGATCTTCGGATTTAGCAACATACAACAATTAATAAAAGAATACCCATCTTAGGATTTAGCAACATACAGCAATTAATCTACAAACGGTGATATTTGTAATACTCGTTAACCTCTTCTCCCTAACACACCTTTATGACATGGCACATAGACACCTGGGTAGATTTGTTTTTCTATTAATAGTATGTAGACATAATGTTTTGCTAGAAACCAAGTATGCTTAAAAATTACAGATCATTGCAGTAAAAGTGCAATGTTTTTTAGCATTGCACACCATACTTTATTACTGTCAATAGAGTTTGTAGTAGCTGCTATAAAAAACCATTTAATTCGGTCACTGTTTACGGTGCAGCATCAGTGTTTAGTATGTTATGTTAAGCATGACCTGTGCAGTGGCTTCAGTAATGTTATTCTGTCATTTGCGTCTGTTGATAGGATGGCGGAAAGATTTGTTTTTACAAATTCCCATAAAAAGTCTGCAGGTTATATATAATGAGTACATGTTTATGTGCTTTGAAAGTTGTAAAGGCACTTTATGCCTACTATGTATGGCATTGGCTGCATGCCTGTTGGTTCTGATGCATGGTAGTGACATTTAGGTTATGTCTGTCATTGAATTTCAGAGAATATATTCCTAACTCAGCAAATGGGCTTACTCCTTTACATTAGTTTTACTAACACATACATTAAAAACTTGATTATTTTATTCTGATGAAGTTTTAGGTTCTGATGGTGGTGGGCTGTAACACTGTGTATTTGTGTTTGAAGCAATGATTCTTTTGAAAGTTTTGTAATTAACTATGAAACTTTTAAGAAGCCTTCACAGAAACTTTTTGAATTTAGTAAAGGCTAAATGATTGTGAACATGGAATTTTCTCCTGTTTTGAATTAATTCTTTGGGAACAGTTTGATTTCATGTTTATAAAATGTGGCACTAATCTGATTTTGTTTTTAGAAAAAGATCAGATTGGAAAAAAGGAAAGAATGGAAAAACAACAAAGAACAAGGAGAAACGAAGAGCAAAAATTGAATCATGTGGGGATGTGACAAATCTGTCTGGGCCCCCAGAAGTGGAGCTTCCTAGTAATGCATCAAGTTTTGCAGTGTTTGCAAGTGTTCGTCTGGCTGTATTGGAACGCTGGATGAAGCAGGCCTGTCAGATTTATTTGTCATCGTCATCTAGTTTTCCACCAATAGATGGTAGTAGTGAAATTGACAGTGATAGTGAAGAGAATACTGATAAAATTAGAGAAGTACCACCACTTCGAGTACCAAAGGTATAACTGCGAGGTCATATCTACAGCAACAAACCTTTCATGGTTTTATTTTTAATCCTTTGGTGGTTAACTACCTTGTGAATTGTAGAGATTTATGTGTAGAAAATCTGAATTAATAATTAAATACAGGATAAGAATGAAATTGTACAATGACTTGGGCTACATTCAGTTGGAATTTAAGCTTCTCTTAACATTACTTACATTACATCTGATTTTTATAGGCTACCTCAGTTTATTATTAGCCATTTCTTGAAAGGAATATAAACAATCTTGGATTGTCATGTATGTGTTCATATCTTTTTGGCAGTTTATAATGTGAAACAGTTTTCTTAAATCTGATACTTAAATATTTGTCAGTAGTACCAATGAACACCAAATTGTAACATTTTGTATAGTAGTGAAGTTTTAAAAAGTAAGGCCATATTCATCAGAAATAAAACACAGCTTAATTCTTACAAACTATTTGTTTACTCAGTTCTGTAATTATAATATTTGCTTGTATTGCAGCATATTAAGAGAGGGAAGTAGTTCAGGAATTTTTGATTCATACCTTTAATTGTCTTATTATACCAGCATTTGTTTGGCATCTTATTAGCTTTTAAATGTGCTGTGAAGTGTGGCCTTTTTGTTAATTTGGGTGAAAATTTGAACATTGCAAATAACAGCAACAGTATTAGTGGTAACAATTACAACAATGATTTTATGGAGGTGAAAAATGAGGCTGTGTGTGAGTTGAACATATGAGAGTAAAATTCTTGGAAGATATGTTTAACTTTAATTAAATTTAATGTTTTGAGTGACCACAAGCAAAAATTTCGTTTAGTCCAGGGCCATATAAAGTAGTAACTGATTGTTGTTTTTAAATATTTGATTTTACTTTTGTAATCTATCTATTTTGCTTAGAAAAGCAACAAACATGCTGACAGAATAATGAAACTGCAAATGCCTATAATGAAATATTGCACAGTGTTTTTTTTATAGATTGTAGGAGTAGGTCTGCGGAGTGTCTTTGAGCTTATTCGTGAGAGTCGATCTTCTCATCCTCTTTTATGTACAAAGGCACTTGTAGCACTTCTTGATGTAGTGCAAGGTCAGCAACCAGAAGGTCTTAAAAATGAACCAACTGAAGTAACAGGTAAGATCTAGTGGACATAGCACATAAGATATGTAATCTCATCAGGTATAAATGAATGTCAAAATGAATATAACAAGAAGTTAAGCTTTCTCAATGTACAGATTCACCTTAACTTCAGTTTTTCAGTTTCAATTAAACGTTTCCTCAGTTTCAGGTTTGGATAAGATGTAATCCAAAAAAACATGATTTGGCATTTATTTCACTGTATCTCCTATGTCTTTACTGCATGGTGATTTGTTTCCAGATCCTTTATTTGACCTTTTACTTGATCTGGCAACATCACATGGGCCAGAGTCAGCTGCTGCCAATGATGGAAGTCACCTCACAGCTGTGGGCTGTGCATGTCTGCTCAGCCTTGTAGTAGTCAGGGGAGACACTGGAAAGTTGCTTAGTGCTACAGCAGCCTTACTCATGTGCCCTCGAGCACTTGCTTCACAGAACATACATGTATGTTTTGATAATGACAATTTAGACTGCTTTCTCAGTAGTAGTTACTTAGAATAGGAGAGTAGACTCTTGACACATATTCCCATTAAATCTGCCTCCTTCTGTGTTTCTATGAATTATTTGCACCAAGTAAATTAAGTGATTGTATAAGTGGTAGGTGGTGTCTGCCCAACTGTCATAGTTTTCTTTGAAACTGTAGAATGGATTTTGATGCAATTTGGTATTGAATTTCTACACCAAACATCAGATTCTACTTTAGTTTCTATAAGCTTATACAACCCCTGCCTGAAGCTGAACTGAAATTCATATTAATTTTCTCAAAAGTTTATTGATCATTAACTTGGTACATGGCATGAATTATAAATCTTATTTAGGTCTGCAAGTTTTATATGAAGTATTTTTTAGTATGGTACATATTTATATTTATATACACTCAGCAATATTGATTTTAATATGTGTAAGCAATTTGAAGCACATATTTTTGCCACAAGAGTACAGCACAAAGTGAAGAAGAAAGTCATTTTGAAGTTATAAAACCATCACTTCCTATAAGTGTATTATTTGTGATGTCTTTTACTTTAAATATATGACAAAAGGTAAGTAAAGTAGGATCCGTATGTTGTTGATAGATTGGTCAGTAATAGACTTTAGTGAAGATGGCTGTCTTCTGACTCACTGCCGTGAAAACCTCAAATCCTACAATAGACTAGGGTTGTGGTGATTAACAGAATTTTATTGTTAATTTTTGCTACAAGAGTTCAGTTCAAGGTGAATAAAGTGGAATAAATGGGGAAATTGATTTTACTACGCTAAATGAATATGAAGACCATAGCCATGTGCAAATTAACAGAGTTGTTGGA